TTTTGCATATATTATCTCATTTAATCTTCAAGGTAGTCCTGTGAGTTAAGAACCTAAGTTAAGAACCTATTCTACCTAAGAGGTAGAATAATTGGCCACAGGTCTTACCGTTAAATCATTCTTAGCAATGGTATTCAAACTCATCTCTCTTGACTCCAAATCCAATACTCTTTCCAATAAACCTTGCTGGAAAAACTAATAAATAAATAACAACACCAACAAAAACAAATCACAGAGTTCAGCCAAGGAAAATGAGTGATAATATATTTTTTAAAATGAGTAATAGCATATTTTATTAAGCCTAGGTTAGATGCCAAATACCTTCTCTTCAGAATGCTCAGGGATTTGTGAATGTAACTTTCAGCCTCATGTCCTCAATTTGAAAGGCAAGAAAATGATTGAAATTCTAAAGGATTTTGATGAGTGAAGAACAGATGCAGTTGCAATTGAGACCAGACAAGTATGCAGAGAAATGTAAATGAATTATTTAGAAGCAAACAACCCAGCTAAGAGAGATGCCAAAATATATCAGCTAAGATAGTAAAGTATTTTAAAAGATTTGTTCAGCTCTCCATGTATGATATATAAAAGTAATGTGTATGTATGTGTATATACACACATATATTTATATGTGTATATTTAATGGATGCATGCACATATGCTAATAGCATATGCAAATTACATACTTCTGCATATATAGGTATACATATATCCTAAGAGTTTCATCATTTGTTCTGATTCTAAGGCCAAAATCTTCAAGACATTTTAAAAGCTTTAAGGGACCATATAATTAATAACATATAATCTTTTCCTTTAATAAGTAAGGAGAATGAGCCCTGCAGAGATAAAATAACTTGTCCAAGGTCATACAGGAAGCAAAAGGTAGAAGTAGGATTAGGAACTTTCTTTTGACAAGAGATCAAGTGAAATTAACTATACTATGCTGACTTTTCCTTAAGAACCTTTGTTCAGAATGTAAACACCTCTTTGAGAGCTATTTGTTTTTAGTGTAATAAGAAGGGTTTTCCTTAAAAGTTTGGTTAATTACTATGTTACTTTGTATACTGTAGTTGAAAAAAAAACTACTGTAAAACACACACATGCAGAAACAACATCATGTTTTCCTAACATTTATTTTTATGTTCTGAAACATAATATGAGAGTAGATATTGAGGAAGATAGATGAAGAAAATCATGCTACTTTCTCTGTAAAAATTCTGAGATGAAATTGACACATTTCTGGGAAAGGGGCAAAGAAAACAGAAAAAAGTGAGAAATATAGCTTTACAATCTTGACTTTTATTTTGGACACATTTTTTCTCATGTCTGATTTCTCATAGATGCAACTGATTCAGAATATTTTATAGTCAAGAACATGTAGCTATTTGATCAAACTGCTAAAATGTGCTTTTTCGTCACTGCCATACTTATCCAATGAAATTCAGGTTACTTTGAGTCTTCACAGGTTTTTCAAACACAAACTGGGCAAATTAGGTTCTTTAGATGAAAATGCATTTTCAAAATGTGAGTGCAATCTGCTTTTGGCCTTGCTATGGTTATTGTTTTTCCCTCTATAAGACAGTATAATGCTTTGTTTTGTTTTGTTTTAATTTTCACCACTGAAAGTTCCCTGAAGACTTTACTTTTATTATTCAGCATCACACTTTTTTTAAACACTCTTTCCTCTAGCCAGTAAAAACAAACAAAGAATTACTAGGTTTCATAGCATTGTTTTAATTCCTTATAGGTGGAAAGAGGAAGTATGCTGCAAAAGGCCAATAGCTAAGTTTAGTTTCAAGCTACTTGGGGAATTATTTTCATCTTCAATGATAATGTCAATTTTTGTGGCTTCTAGAAGTATCTGCAAAGACTACTGCTCATAAAACTTTATGCAGAATATGAATTAAGAAAAATGTTTAGTGATGAAACATTCATACTATTTATGATAAGAATAATAATTTTATATTAGGATATTTGTTCCTGTTAGTTATTTTTCAGTTGTGCCCAACTCTTCATTATCCCACTCGGAGTTTTCTTGGCAAAGCTGCTGGAATGCTTTACCATTTCTTTCTCCAGCTCATTTTACAGATGAAGAAACTGAAGTAAACAGGATTAAGTGGCTTGTCATTAGTGTCTGAGGCTGGATATAGGAAGAGGTGTCTTCCTGACTCTAGCCCCAACACTCTATCCACTGCATCAGCTAGCTACCTCTCTATTGAGACATAGAATATTAGTGTCCATAATGCATCCTATGGACAAACTAGAATACATCCAAGCCCTGTGTACTATAAGGGTCAGCTCAGTGGCTCTGTAGATAAGAGTCCTGTTCCCTGTGCCTTGTCAGGAAGACTTGAGTTCAAATTCAGCCTTACAGCCTTACTAGTTGTGTGACTCTGGACAAGTGGTTTAACCCCTGTTTGCCTCAGTTTCCTCATTTGTAAAATGGGGATAATAATAATACCTATCTTCCAAGGTTGCTGTGAGGATCAAATGAGATAATTGTAAAGCACTTAGCACAGTGCCAGGCATACTTTCTAAATGATATTATTACAATCATCATCATGATCAATTATTAAAACAAAATGTTCCATATGAGCATTATGAAATATGTCTTCCCTATCTGCTCAAAACAAACACATGCACACACAAGGAAGTGGATCTGACAAGAAAATACAGAATGACTTTATCAAATTTGGAGATAACATGGATTTAATTCCAATCCTGTTATATTAAAAAAAAAGATAAAGATACATTGTCTCATTATCACCATTCGTCCTTACCATCATAGCCTGGAAATAATTTTATTTGATAAAGAAAAAATAAAGAATATATTAAGAAATATATGTTTCTTGCAAGGAAGCATTATTTAAAAAAAAAAAAACCACTGAGAAGAGCTAAGTGCTGCCCTGCATGCTTGAAGAGAAATTTAGATTTTCAAAAATAGATTCACAATCCTTTTCTTTGTTTCATTCTGACATCCTAGCACTTTTATAGTTGCATTTGTCCACACTTGATCTCATTTATTCAGCCTCTGCTTTAACTTGCACATACTGGATACGGTATTGTAGGAAATGTTGTATCAAAAATGATGCTACTTTAGTATCCCATAGGGAAGGATGCTGTTGTTGAACTATTCTCAGTGAAGAATTTGTGTCAGGAAGTGGCTATGTGGAAAGGCCCTTGCGTTCTGCATGGTGAATCAGAGAATATGAATCCTAAGTGATTTCTCAGAGAAAAGGAAATGGTGACCTCAGAGGGAAAACTACTACTTAAAAAAAAATTTCCATGATACATTTTGAGGGTGAATTGTTTTACCTGCTTGCTTTGTTTCTTAACATCAGCACCTCCCTAAACAAACAAAGAACAACAACAAAAACCAAACAAAACCCCTAAAATCAAAAGACAAAACAAAATACCGATTCCCCTAATGTCATCACCAATTCATCTAGCTTTCTATGGAAAGGAACACATCTATCCAAAAATGCCTTTGGTTGGGAGCAATTATCTTCATTTGTTAATGATGTAGTTTTTAGATTTTGGGAAACTGAGACTTGTGTTTTTTGTGCTGGTTGCAAATACATTCTTTAAACAATCTTCAGAGGAATGGCTCCAATCCAGCTACAGCTTAGACTCCTCTCACTCATGACAATCAAAATGGAAGCAAAATCAAATATTTTCCTGAGCTTCTGTCATGATCACTCTCATAGCACCCCATTGTTTATTCTTTCTGGTTGGAGACACTCTACCTACTATTAGAAATGTGTTTCACATAAGCATAAAATGGAAAATTTAATTACACTATTTTCAAGTTTTCACACACACACACACACACACACACACACACACACATACATGCAAAGTGAAATTGAAAATTAGCAAACAAACCAGTATTTGGTTAGCTCAGAATATTAATTTGTTAAAAGATCAATTTTCAGTTCAATCCAATTCAACAGATATTTACTTCATTGACCACTAGATGCATGCCATATGTGGAAAGTATTAGAGCTGAAAGGGAAAAAAAAGTGCCCCTGACTACAGTGAAGTTATATTTTATTCAGTACATGTAGGTTAGCACGATTTCCTATGTGGCCTATATGAATCTGCAAAACACTGTAAGTAGCTGAAAATTTCAAACAAAACCGAAAAAAAAAGATTAAAAAAAATAAGAATTGGTACCCAAATGACTTCCAGAAAAGACATATCTGATATGTCCTTAATTCTTAATATCCTGCTAATGATTGTAGTTTAATGCATGATTCATGAGCCTGAAGTGGATTTTCATCATATTCATGACTACATGTACAAAGTACAGTCCCCATCTTCCACTGAAAAAGCTCAGAGGCTCACTCAAAATTGCTGTTTCATAGGTTCAGCAGGGCCACTCTTGTAATCCCTGATTCAAAGAAGGAAAATTATTTAGGAAAACCAGATGCTAATATACATACAAACTGAGCTACAAAGTCCCTAGCATACATTCTTTCAAGCAATTCAGAGCCCGCTTTCAGCTTGCTTTATGTCTTTTAATGCTGGTGCTAGTTAAAAGGGGGATGCATTTGAAAGTTGCCATTATTGTAATCACTAAGTGACTGCAGGGTTAATTCCTCTAAGAGCGCTGTGAGGGGAAAGGTTCTTGCATCTAGCCCTCATTGTGTGCTGAACGTGGGATTACATTGTTTGAAAACAGACAAAACAAACAAGACAGCCTTCATGGGACTGAAATACTTTGTATGTGTTGTTATTTGCAGTGCATGCCAAGACATTCATGAGCACCAGAGCTGGCGAGCTAATTAAGTATATATATGTATGTGTTTAAAACAGCCTAATAAGGAGCATTGGAAATCTTCAAGATGAGCGAATATCTTATAACTTCTTCCGCAGGTGCGAGGATAGCTACAAGCCATGGACTTTCTGTCCTGCTTCTTGTTTGTGGCTTTGTGAAGGGTGCTTTGCTTTAATCTAAAGTGCTGACTTTTTTCCAATATCACTTTCTCTTCTTAAAGCAAAGAGCAAATCGCCTGTAAAATCTTCGGAGCGGACAGCAAAGTTGACCCTAAACTCCAACCATCACTCTGCACCCAATGTACTCTAATTCTCTACACAAGGAGCACCTTCTTCAGGAAGTTAAAAAAATAAAACAAAAAAAATAAAAAAACACAAAAAGTTAAAAAAAAGAAGAGGATTGCCCACGTTTTATTAATAATATTTTCTTTGGCAGACCACTGAGCTTTTAGTTCAAGAGGACTGGTGTGAAGTGGTAGGACATTTTGTAACAGCAAGACTTCTTTTCCATTTCTTCGGCAAGTAGAAGCACTGTATCACTGACTGCTCAGGGGTTGGCCTGTAAGTCATCAGTATAATAATTGTTCGCTGCGGATATCCTTGATTTCCACTAGGTAACACCATTTCTCCACTGGAGGCAAACAGAGACCAAAAATAAATAAACGAAATACTACAGCATATCCTCAAACATCAGTCAAAACCTGCCTTTTGGGGAAGGAACAAAAATATTGACATGACAAGTCAATGTGTAGAACATTAACTTAAGGCAGAAAAAAAAAAAGAAAAACACATGGACAAGAATGGAGTATTTTTTTGTATTTTTTTTTTTTTAGATTTTTCTTCACTTGTGTTGGGGCTCTTCTTTTTCATTTCTTTCTCTCTCTCTGTCTCTCTCTTTTGGTTTCTATTTCTTGTTCAATGGTGGCAAGTGCTGACTAAGGCCAATCCCTGTCAACTGCGTGGAGGTTTCTATAAATACATTTTTTTGAGTGTTCTCTATTTCATTGTGTTTTATCTAATTTTGCAATTCCTGTATATGCAAAACTGACATAAATTCTGTAAATTGCTTACAGTACGTGTGATATAACTTCAAAGTAGGCATAATATGATCCTCATGCAAGCCAATTTTTAATATAATATATATATCTATATGTCGTGCCACCAACAAACATCTTTATTTCCTTTTCTGATGAAGCATACTATTCTAATTTGTAATTAAGTATTGTGTGAATTTGGTAATACATGAATTCACTTCCACTGCTTTGACACTTGCAGATGTCTGCTAATTTCTGTAAAATGCACATTAAAATTTGTAATGGTCTCTGAAAAATGAACTATTTCAGTTGTTTGTATAATGTGTTGGAGTTTAATATTTGCCCTTTTATGTATGTTGGTTTTGGGGTTTGAGGGACTTTTTCCAGAAGAATGTAAATTTTTTTTTAATAAAGATTATACATAGAGAGGAAGGGAAGAAATGAAATGTTTCCTCCAAGATTTGCTTGTAACGTGAGCACAGGGAAGGGGATTTGATCACATTGATTTCTATAGTTCACTAAGAATTTTGCCTTCTATGACTGAAATCATTGGTTCTTTCATCCTTTCTGGATCTCCATAGCACCATTGTCCAGTCATATGCAGTTAACTGAATTTTGTTTTGTCTCTAAATTAAAATTTGGTTATTGTGTGAAAAAAATGTGCACAAGATAAATCAAAATAACTGATAAAAGGTAGAGGGTCCATCTTTCTTAGATGAAGTGAGAATATTTGAGTATCCTACTTCCTAGTTTGGTCCTAAAAAAAAGAAAACATTTTTCTTCAGCTGCTAGTTTCTTTCTGGAAAAGAAAGATAGGTATGACTGTATTTGTGTATATGTAAGCTCTACTATAATATGTATCTGGAAAGAGAAATGTGAATGATTGGAGCTTTCCTTCCATATTGGTCCCTCAATTTTTCTTTCCCTATGAAGAGGGAAGATCATCTATTTATGATCACTTCCTGCTCTTGGTCTGATGACCTGAACTGCAGTTTTAAAATTACTGTATGCTTCACGGTTTACAGGTAATGCGCTGACTGGTTCTGTGACTGGATACTGAACAACGCAATGTGGTTCAATGCTTTCAATGTATTTGTCTGAGAAGTGATGTCTTGTGCCATGCATTTCTTCTCTATTCATTTCTTGATAAGTTTGGTTCTATGATGTTATAGAGTCTAATTAGAAAAGCTAAAGAAAAAGAGATTTTATTTACACTAGTACAAGAAAAGAGAAATGGTATTTTTAGGAGGTTTTATTTACCAGAAATATATTTTCCTTTAAAATTACATTTACAAAAATCATGGAAAGGTCAAAAGAAAATGTGTTTTTAACCAAATCAAACAGGACCAAAGTTTATGTTGAATGCTCACCTGAGCCTCACTCTGAGATTAGTGAATAAACCTTGTAATGTAGAATTGGGCTCAGCCATTCAACATTAATGAATGGGGGGTTAGCCTAATCCTAAAAGTAAAGGTAATTTTGGAAGTTCAAGCCCTGAGAGTAGTCACGATTAAAGAAAAACCATAGGCTTGTAATTTTCCTAACTGCTGTTACTCTTTTTTTTTTTCAGTGTAAAGAGATGCTATATAGTCAGGAAGGACCTGGTAATAGACATAACTCTGTCCTTGCCCAAATCTAATGAAATCAGCTGTACCACTGACTTACTGAGGGTCTTTTTTTCCCTGAAAGATCATTTGCACATCATACAGTGGTCCCAACCTTTAAAAATCAATTAAGTATCTTAAACATTGTAATAGAAACTAGAATTTGTTAAGGAGGCCTTCAGATATTTTATGCCTCATATTGTGTCCTTCTGGGACTATGACTTTGTATGTAACCATGATTATGGCAATACAAATAAAGGTTGGAAAAACATTGCTATCTGAATTTCTCAACATTGGTTTCAAAGGACTTGTGTTGGCTTCAATAAAAGGGAATGACAATATTTTCAAAAGATATTCTCCCCTATGCTCGATTTATGTTACTTTTTATTTTCTATTCTTCATTGGTATTTACTCCCTGCCCATTTCCAAAAGGATTCAAGGTGGCTTCTAATTTAATCTTATAACAACAATGTCAAGATCCACCATTTCATGAATGTGTATATTGTGTCTACTTATTCAGATACATTTCTACTCATTCTTTTAAGAGGTGCTATAACCCTCCCCCACCCCAGTTATTTACGTTGTGGCTAATCTCCTAGGAGTGATCCTCTTACCATTCATTGAATTTGGTTTTCAGATGGCCAACATTAAGTCCATTAATAGGTGTGTAAATAAAGGAGTTGTTTTTCTTTTCCTTCAGTTTTCTAGGACTTACCAGAGATTGTGATCTACTTTCATGGGCTTTGAGAACTTGGAGTACCTTTCATGACATGATGAAGCATTGATATAAGACTTGCCTGGAGGATAATGAAAAAGTAAGGGTAAAAATAAAATGAAGGTCTCCTAAGATCGTATTAACTCATTATTACAATTTTGGGAGCCTGAATTTTACCACAAAGTTTCCTGATTGCTAAAGCAAAAAGGGGGAAAAAAAAACTATATTCTTTAACAAGCAAGTATGCAAATCCATCTGGAGAGATTAATTTTCTTTTGGTATTGTATACAAATAAAGATAGATTAATGGGGCCTCCCCTTATTTGAAGGACATTGGATCACTGGGTTGGCAATACTTCATCTTTAAAAAAGATGCAGGAAGAATATTATTATGGGTAGTTCTTTCATCTTTAAGGGTTATCTTTAAGGATTAGTGGATAGTAATAAATCATCCTAACTTGCTAAAGGTATTTCATGATAAAAAGGAACTGTTAGACCTTCAACATTACTTGTTTTCTCATAGTTTACCTTGTTACAGGGATGTGATTGAGAGAATCCAAATAACTCTCACTGAGAAATAGTATGTCTGCTTAGGTTGTGCAACATTTCTCAAGGTACCACAGAAACTAGATTCTTTTATCCTCTGCCTTATTTCTCCCATTAAATAAGCTTCTTTACTTGAAAATGAATATATATTACTCTGCAAAAACAGCAAAAAAATATAACTAATTTAATGGTTCCTAAACCAAGGACTAGCCCAAAGACTTTGTTTCTGGAGTTTTCAGTTACTTCCTGGAGGGAGTAGAAGAACAAATATAAAAAATATTGGAGCAAAAATATTTTTAAACTGATAAAACAAGCACTCCACCATGTTTAAATTACTCTTTTAATACTTATTTAACACTTCTGAAAAGAAAAAAATAGGCTTCCCAGGGAACCATCTTATTGCTGTATGACAATACAGCATTCAATGGACCTCCTTACAAAAACTAAGTAAAAAAGGCATCGGAATAATTAAAGTTTTCCCCAGGTAATCCTTAATTGTGCTCAAAACTTGAAAGAATGAAGTGGCAGGTGATTATAATAGCTTTGAGTCTGGAAAATTATACTTAATTCATTATATGCTCCTCCCCCCCAAAAAAAGAAGAAAATTCCTCTTAAATAATTTCTTATTTCTGTTGAGGTTAATATCATTCTTCCAGTCATGAAGCTTATCCTGTACTCCTCCTCTACTTATCTTCTCACTCTACTCATCCTCATCCCATATATCTAATCAGTTGCCAAGTCTTCTGGACTTCAACTCTATGACATCTAGATTTGGCTCATTCTATCAGTTCATTGGCCATCTCTCTAGTTCTTGTCTTCATAATCTCTCACCTAGATTATCATAACAGCTTCCTAATTCATTTTACTTCCTTCCATCTTCCTCTTACCCATCTTCCATGTAGTGGTTAAAATTATATCCCCAAGGCAAATATCTGACCATATTGTCACTCCCCTCTTTACCAAATATCTCCAGTACCTCAATATTTAATCTGGATTAATATGAACTTTTCTGAATAGTATTTAAGTTTTTTTAGTAACTGACTCAAGCCTATTTTTCTAGACAATTTCCAATTTACTCATCTTTATGTACCTAGCATTCCATCTAGCCTACTCTATTTACTTGTATCCAAACACCACAATACATCTTTTGCCTCCAAGGATTGTGCATGCTGTATATGCTGTTCTTTTCATGGAAAGCATTCATTTCTCATGTCCTCTTCTTAGAACTCCAAGATTCCATCAAAGCTCAGCTCAAATGCCACCTACTGCATGGAGTCTTTACTAAGTCCCCACTAGGTGCTAATGTTGCTCCATCCACATTTTCCTTGGCATGCACTTGGTATCTACTTAGATATTTATGTGGCACTTGCACCAAGAGAAGTAAAATCCTAGATGGCAGGGACTCTGTTTTCCTATCTATATTTCAGTGACCAGAACAGTGCCTTATATAGACTAGTTAGTAAATGTTCTTTGAAAAACTAGTAAAAGTTTCAGAGATCAGAAGAAAAAAGGGATCCAATTAATTATTTTCAACACCGATTGTACATTTAAATCATATTTGTTACATTACATTATTAATTATTATTACATATAGCTATTTACAAGTGTAAACCTCTCCAGGACAATATGTTCATAAAACAGCCTTATCCAAACAGAAAAGCAAACAAACAAACAATTGTATATTTGCTAGAGGAAAACAATGAAATGGAAGAGGAAAATGTCATTTATTGTTTATATACATGAAATATGTCATATATATATATATAATAAAAATATCACTCTTTACAGCTCAACACTGAAAATTCCTCCAAGAATTTAGTTTTTGACTTTGCTTTTGACTAGGTTTTTGTTTTTTAATTTAAGAATTAAATAAAAGGAGAAGG